GCCCGCCAACAAGTCACTGATGTCGGGGCCGGGCCCGTCAAGGTTGCAAAGGCCAGGCGACGGCAGGCAAGTCAAGCTCTCAGCAAAAAGCTAGGGATGCAGCCGCGGCGAGCAAGCCAGACCAGCAGTGCACGTACGCGCCGCGCAAAGCAGGCCGCAGCGCGGCTGGGGCAGCACGAGCTTTAGCGTGGGCCAGCAAGCGCACAAACTCTGCGGCCTCAGAACTCCAGCAGCCCCCAACTTCAGCCCCGAGAGCCACAAGGCGGCAACGGGCGTTGCCAACAAGCTCGGGGTAAGTGGCCTCTTTTCGGCGCCGTGCCTCCTGCAAAGCGATGGGGCGGGCAGGGTGCCACACCGGTAGCCGTGAGCGGCGACACAATGGTCGCGTCGACCGCAAGCTGCGCTCCATTCCACAAGGGCACCGTTGGCAATGACCTCGATGCGGCGGTCGTCAAAACGTGCGACCGCCACATTCAGATCGCGCACAAGTGTGTTACAAGTGACACGGGCCCCCGCCTCCCTGCAAACACGAGCTGCCGCTCGCTCGAGCGGGCATCCCCGACTCCGCAAAGCACCAGACCTAGCGCGGGCTGCTCGATGGTCGCCAAGAGGGTCGAGAGGGCGACGGCACCGGCAGCTGCGCGCGGACAAGGGCAAGGGGAGGCGCAAACGCCGCAACAGAAGGGCACGCAAGTGGTCAGAAGGGAATGTGAGCTCGGGGCAGGACGGCACACTGCAGAAAGGGCGGCTGCTGAAAGGCCCAGTCTGGGAAAACAAAAGCGCTTGGGACGCAGCGTCAAGCTGTGGCAGTAGGGCAGCTTGGAGTTGTTCAGCAATGGCAGTGGCAGCGGGCGCTTGCCAGCCCCGGGCGCTGGGCTCGGGCAGGTGCCCGGACAAGTCCAAAGATGACGGCGGGGCTGGATTGTCAAGCAACTCCTCCCAAGAAGGCGGGCGAAACCCTCGGCGGCGCCCAGAGGCGAGGCCAAGGCGTCAACAGCTAGTTGGGCGACGCCATGCAAACACAACCCATTCGCGATGACCGTGAGCCGCCGGTCATGGACGTGGTCAACCACAAGGCTGAGGTCGGCCAAGCACGTCACCCGGGCCCCGGTTTCACCTGGGCAGCCTGTTTGAGGGCGCACCCACGACCCCCGAGAACATGCCGCACGGTGGTCGACAAAGGAGTCCAAACGGCAATGACACCAGCATGTTCTTTCGGCGACGGGGAGCCGGAGGCGCCGAAGAAGGACGATCTGGAAGAGGTTTGGGGGGGCTTTGCTGCGACTCCAACAGCGCCCGCGCAGAGGGGTCAAGGCGCTGGTGGACAAGCGGTCCCAAACAGCACGGTCGTGGGCAGCTGCGAACACTGCCTGCCGCGGACTCGGGTGGGGGGCAGCAGGTCGCCAGGTTGGGAAAGGCTTGACGACCTGAAAGCCGTGCACAAAGAGATCACCCCTGAGGTCGGGGGTGGTATCTGGCGGAAAGGAGCGGCGCACGTCAAAGGAGGAGTTGGGTCCAGTGTCCTTCCTGGAAGGCCTCAAGTCGCACACTAACCACCTGTCTAACCTTCCGGAAATTCCAAGGGCAGCGAAGGGATGAGGTGGACGAAGGAAGAGCCGGGTCATGTGTGTCCCATCCCCACCGCTTGGAAGCGTCTGTAAGCTTGGGACACAAGACCCTAAGAACTTGGATGAAGAAGTCAAGCCTTTGGTAACAGCCTGGCGTTAATTGACTTCTTGCTCCTTTCCCACCCTTTCCTCTCCATCAAAGATAGGAGAGAGGGATGGGCCGCCTTCGTTCGCTTCTTTCGTTTACAACTTCATTCATCTCCAAATGCGAGGTAACGAGAGTCACTAACTAACCCGTCAACTCTTGATTCCGGCTTGACCGGTGAGTGTGTGTGTGTGTGTTAGTGACCAAAGGGAGCGGTCACATTCATCTTTCCTATCTCTTGGTCTCTTCCCACGGTCATCGATTCCAAGAGATGGCAAGGAAGAGAGAAAGAGATGGCTCCCTGTCTCCTATCTGCTGTCAGCCATCTTCCAGCATCTAGAATCCATCCCGCCTCTCAGTCTTCTCTGTGAGGCATGAAGGGATGGGAAGAGATGGCTGATAGGTGAGGGAGGTATAGAGGTGCAGGAAGAAACGAATAGACGAAGGAATGAGTGATGCATCCTCACCTATATCTCCCTTCCATCTCTTCTAACTCTCTATTACCCACTGTCCAGGAAAGAGACAGTGGAGAGAGTGAAGAGATGCCTCCATTCGTTCCTGCATTCACGGCCTCCCAATTGACTCGTCCATGAGACAGGAAATGGAGGTGTAAGTGAATGAAGGAATGGGATGGGAGAGAGAAGTGAGTGAAGCGAGCGGATGGAATGGTTCTCTTCGTTCCCAATCCTCTCTTCCTCTTCTCTTCATTCACTCTCTCTTCTCCATTAACCCTCTCTCACCGGTTAACCCGGGAAATAGAGAGAGGAGTGAAGAGATACACGGTGACCCTATATCCTGTCCTTTCGGTCACCGCCATGTCCTTTCTCCGTTCCATCGGTTAACCTCTGTCTCTACGCTCGCCACTCCTGCTTGGAGAGCCGGCGTTCGCCGGCTTTGCGATGAAGCAGCCGAGGCAAAAAAAATCCGAGCTCGAAGGTCTGCGAGAGGGTGGGTTTCGGGGTCGCCCGCTTCCAAGACGCTTGCAAGGGAAAGAGCCTACCGGACTTGGCCTTTAACAAGCGCAGGGGGGGGGACTGGGGATCCAGGCTAGCACGGCGGATGTAGCCATCCGTGATGCCCAAGGCCGGGCCGGGCGGAGCAGGGGCAGAGTCAATATGGTTTGAGCAAAATTGGTTTCAACCTCTTCGTGGTAGATGTCCACAAATACGTCTGCCAAGATGTGTGTGGAAACATCTATATCATTTCCCCTGCAGCATTGGCTGTTCCTGCGCAGCAATTGCAAACAATTTCTCTTCAATCAATAGTTCCAGCACCATGCCCAGCTCTGGTTGGGATTTCGCATAAACCATCCCGGTAGCCAGCGCAGACCGTGAGTTCACGCTGCAGGATGGCGCATTCCGTCGTGTGCTCCTCCGGTGGTGACCTTGACCAGTTCGGCAACCACCGGGCAGCTTGCCCCACAGCCGGTGTGCTGGTCCGGCGGGCTTGGAGCGCGCTGCGGCGCGCATGTCGGGAGGCAGGTGTTCGGGTCGCGCCCAACGTCTTCCTGCGCGATCTGAACCTCGGGCTGTCGCTGACCGACGGGCGCAGGTGTGCAGGTTGTGGTGGATATGACTCTGGTCAGTCCGCTGTGGCGCGACGGGAGCCGCTCGCTTGGCGCAAGCCGCCCTGCGGCGCAGCGCCGTACATTAAGAAATGCGATCGTTGTTCGTCGCTCATGGCGCTTATGAATGCGATGTGAGGATGTGTTGGCGAACGTTCAGGAGAGAATACTACAATAAAATACATAGCGAACATTGTTGTCTTGTAGGCAGCTGAAACATGTGCATTTGTGACAAGTGGTTGGCTTGGGTTCTCGTGAGCAATGAGCTAAGAAGCATGCTCCAGGCCTCAATGAGAGCAACAAAAGATCCGCCTGGCACCGCAGAAAGGAGCCAAAATAGCGTGTCTGAACTGCCAGTATGTGGCAATCAAGGTCGGGATTGCCAGCTGAGATTGTATCCAATGCGCCTCTCAAATGCATTGTCCATCACAAGCATCGGAGCATTGCCAAGGAAAGCAACGGGGAAGAACAACACATGCGCCAATGCCAAAAGTTGCACTGCAAATCTAAACAACGTGAACCAGCGCGGTGTCAACGGAAATCGGGTCAGGCATACGCCAAAGGAAGGAAAAGCAAAGCAAAGCAAAGGACAGCAAAGGACAGCAAGAAACCAGGACAGCAAGGGATAGCAAGGGATAGCAAGGGATAGCAAGGGATAGCAAGGGATAGCAAGGGATAAAGGGATAGCAGGGATAGCAAGGGATCACAAGGCAAAGCCAGCCAAAGCAAGGGAAAGCAAGGCAAACAAGGAAAAGGCAAAGGAAAGCAAGGGATAGCAAGGGAAGGCAATGGAAAGCAACGGAAAACAAGGAAAAGCAAGGGACAGAAAGGCAAAGCAAGGCAAACTGAGGGAAAGCAAGGGCCGGCCTTGGGGAATGTTTCTCAGAGGTTGCGGACAACGGAGGAAACAGGAGTGGCGGCTGAGAAGTCGTCAGAAGCAAAGCTGACCGGATGCTTAAATGCAGCGGGCACGCGACAACGGAGCAAAGCCGACTCTCGGCGCAGAGCCTAGAGAAGCAAGTGTTCGTCTCGGACAAGGCAAAACATGGGATGAGATCAAGTGCAGCTATCAAACTGGTGCCAATCAGGATCCCCTCTGCTCCTCGCTCCGAAGTCGTCCAGCTAAGTGCTGGAATCTGTGGAAAGCCATGGGTGGCAGGAGCGGCTGAGGCGAAGCGCTCCATGCCAGTCCTGTGCAAATGGAGGCCCTTTGCGAGGTTACAAAGGCTCGTTGCCAAACGCACGGAGAGGACGGCAGATGGCTCCCGCGCCGCGTGCCAGAGGAACAGAATAGTAGCAATTACGCAGCGCGCGCACGGAACTTCTGTTCATCGAAGCACGGGAAATGCCTAAACGGCAGAAATGGCAGTCGCATAGTAATTTGCCAGTCTACACTCCTAGGGTATCAAATTGTGTGAATTAGCCACCTCTGCAAAGGGCATATCCACCAGGGTGTTGCGATCAAAGCAACTGGCTTCTCTGTTTGATTTGGAAGAGTCATGATGCTGCCTGACATGAACAAAAAGAAGTTTTCTAAGGACACCTGCACCCACTCTCAGCTCGCCCGCTGCCGTCGCTTTTGCTGGACGCGTGCCCAGGTATGGTCGTGGAGGCTCTAAGCAAAACTTGGAGCATGTCTCCAGACAAAACGGAGATATAGAGGCAATTGTTGTACCACATGTGCTTCAGGAAAAAGCTCTGCGCATTTCATCGGCCAAGTTCCCACCGGCTGAATGAAGAGTTTGGCATGCAAGAAAATCTCCATATCTCCATGCATGCCAAACCAGCAACTGCCCCAACTAACCTAAAATTTGCCGGATTTGTTCAGGCTATACATGGGTCCCATTCTTGCTGACGGGTTCTCACCGCTCTTCATGGCGGCACTCTCCTCACATGCAAGTGCAAGGCTGCGATGCTTTGCACACCCAAGCTGCCGCCCAGGGCACGTGCGGTCCATATGGCGCAGCATGCCCTAAACGCCAGGCTACCTTTCATGCACCGAATTTTATGCGGGAGTCGAATCCGACTCGCCAGTTCTTTGCTACACCCTCTCCGCCAAGGGGGTCTGCTTTACAGTGCCCGGAGATGCTATGGCTCATGAGTTGTGGATGGCGTCCAAGTCGACAAACCCCTGGGCCTTTCGGCACAAAAGCCTTTCGGCTTTCGGCTCAAACTAAATGGAACATACCTTGAAGGACCAGAGGCAACATCGCACACGGTGCCATCGCGAAAAAGCGATGTCCATTTCCGCGCCTCCCGAGCCTCGCCCAGGACGTTGCGCAGGTACTGCGCTCCGGATCGCACCGCAGCGGCCCAAACGCGGCGGCACCTGAGCAAACGAAGGCATGAAGCTTCTGATGTGTGTTTGGTTTTTCAGGCATTGAACAATTGCGCATATCTGTCAAGCTGCTAAAAACAAAAAAACATGACTGCTGGGGAAGCAGGCACAGTATTGGAAAAGTGCACCTCTGCCAGAAGATTCGATTCCTGGACTGAGAGGCTGGCAATGGAGGCAGCATGTGCCGCCCTTCGGGAGCACAGTCATCGGAGGATCTGGCACTATCAGCACCTCAGATGCTCGGTTTTCAGTTCTCCAAATGTGGTTGAGTGAAGCATGCACGTTGACAAAAATCTTAAGGCAAGCACTCACCCATGACAGCTCTGCGGCTGATCGCTCACCATCTGAGGTTGGGCTCAGTACTTGCACCTCATGGCATTGGACCTGCCAGGCAAAATAATCCGCACCGGGAGATTGGTTTGATTGATTGCATTTGACTACCAATATAGGTACGAATTATACTGCGCTGTTGTGCAGAGCTGGTAGCAGCGCTGCCGGGCCTCAGGCTCGACTGGTTTGGCGTGCGTCCAAACAGAGGGAAGTTCCACATCAACCGTCCACACGTCTGGCACGTGGATACCTGAGTCAAGCGCGCGCGCATTGCGCTTTGCAAGGCTCCGCAAAACAAACATGCACAAGTGAGGCATCGCTGCATTGTCAGGTTCTGTCAGATCAAACATCATTCGTCAAAATGTACAAAGTTGCTTGACCGTCTATGTGCCGCATGCCTTTTAGGACTCCAATTCTGCCCAAGCCGCAGCTACGGCAAATGGGGCAAGAGAGCGGAGCTGGAGAAACTCCTCTTCGAAGGACCTGGCAAACACACCAATCGCACACGGCGTGGCTGAAAAGCATTCTTGGTTATATAAAAAGGCTGTGGTTGTCAAAAATGGGCAACCGGTAGCCCCAAAATGGCTCTTCCAGAGATCCCCAAACAAGTTAACGCCAACTTCAAGTCAGGGTGGCCAAAAGCCCGTGGTCCAGGAAGTCGATCCAGCAGTCCTACAGTCACTCAGTCAGCACGTCTGGAGGGTGCTCAAAAACTATACGGACCCAGTTTTTGTTGGACCCCTTAAGGCGGGGCCCACATAAAACATGTTGCCCAAAAATGTGCAAAGCGGGCGCCAGACTTTAGGCTGCCCGGCGCTGCAGAAGCGGTGGCCATCTGTATGAGAATGGTTACTCTCCACGTGCGGGGGCACGAAGGTGTGCTCCTGAGCAACCAGTGGACCAGTCAGGCCCCCGTACAGGACACAGCGGCCAAGAATGAAATTGGCCAACTGTGGCTAAACAAGACCCCGAAGCCCCTTGCAGAACAGGCACCGAATCGCAGCTCGCTCTCAAGACCACGGAATCAAATGGAATCTTGCATTTTTACTTTTACTCCATGGTCTACATGCAGTTGCAATTCACTGCCAGCTCCAGCTCCTGAAGATTATCCAAAAGAAGTTTGAGACATTCACGTTTCCCCGCGGTGAATGGTTCGCCCCTAACTGTGTTATGAGATATGACGCAGAATGACAAAGCTTTGTTCTTATTAACAGTCGATTGATTCTCTGCCTCTCACTTTGCATTCCAAGCCATTCAGCCCGTCAGAAAGTGCTCGACTTGTTGCGCTGCGGTCGCATCGCCGCTCCCGCCCTGTTTGTGCCTCGCTGTGTCCACGTGCGCAACCAGTTAACTTCTTCGTACGCGAATCTCAGCGCTTCCTTGCCAAGCGAAGGACCGTCCCGTTATGTGCAATCGCGTTTTGCGGGGTCTGCCTCAGCGCTTCGACTGGTAGTGACTCCAGCAAGTAGTTGCGTGCTCGCATAAGCTGAATTTGCATGTCAGGCAGGTATTATACCTTCGCCTTGCACTGCCAACAAAGGGCTTCGGCTCGTGC